GTACTATATTTGTTACAATTTTTTTGAGTTTTGTACCAAGATTGTTAATTTTTAATTTTTACTTATACGGTTCAAGCAAATTTCAAAATTTTCAGATTTTTTTTTTAATTTTCGAAAATATACAAAGTTTTATACTTCAAATATGAATTTTAAATTTACAAACCAGTTTGAAAATGTAAATATTTCAAATGCGTTATTCTAATCGTGAGTAATATATCCTCAGATGGATTCATTTATTCACCTCTTGCTAATGTAAACTTTCTCAAGTGTCTGCGATAAGTATATTTTGTGAACGATAAAATATATAGTGATTATAATTATCTATTTGAAAATATTTAACCCCTCGTCGGTCGGATATTTTTTCACCTTCGAACAGTCTGAGTGGTCTGGCTGGACCACTATTCATTTTACATGCGTTTATATGAGATAAATGAGTTTTTGGTGACTTATATATTAACGATTATTAGTAGTAAATATTTATAGTTTAGATTTTTTCTTTTTTTACCGACTTTTGCATGTGTTGAGCTTGCTTATAATAAAAAAATATATATATTATATTATATTATATAAAGAAAATCAAAGAATATAAAAAAATCATTGCTTTTTTATTATTTTTATTTTTCTGTTTTATATCAAGGAAAAACAATATTTATTCTTTTTCGGCTCCTTCGAAATGAATGTGAAATTCAAATGAAAACGAAATGAGGTGCGTCGCCTTTGAAATGAGCTGTAAAATTCAAGTTGAAAATATAATTTCACTACAGGTTTGCCAAAAAAAAATTCGAACGCAGTACGGGTAGAAAAATTGTTGATAATGTGCGCATTACTCATCCGGTTTTCAATATTTGCGATTACCAATAAGTTTGGTAGGTTTTCAAGGAACTCTCGTCGTGAAAATACTAACATTCATGTTACAACACATAGCAAAGAATATATACAACGCAGTTTGAATAGAAAATACCAGAAAAAAGACAAAATACTGGTTTACATATACCAAAAAGCGTAAATTTCATACAAAATATATGGGTGGTCTAGACAGACCTTTCCGACCGTTCGAAGTATAAAAAAGTTAATATCCTTATAATTATCCTTCTGTACATTTTTTCGTTCTGATTTTTTCATTGATCGACAGCTAATGAAATTTTAGGAAAAGTCAAGAAATTTCAAGTCGATAGGATTACTAGAGGTTTTTTTTTTTTAATTGAAGTCGAAAAAAGTCTGGCCGGACCATGCCGACCGACGGAGGGTTAAATATTAATTATAAAAATTAGTGCTTTGCTATTTAATATTTATTTTAAGACAGACAAAACCCAATGAGAACAAAGTTAAATAAAGACTAAATTCAATGAGAATAAAAATTCAATAAGGACAAAATCCAATGAGAATAAAAATCCAATAAGAATAAATATCTAACGAGAATAAAAATCCAATAAAGCCAAAATCCAACTAGTGGGGTGTATGGCATTGTGCCTTAAGGCAAATTGCTGGAACTTCCCGTACCGTAACGAAATGTTCGAGGAATACTGAATGTTTTGAAATAGATTATTATTAATATTGTAACATTGTCTAATACATATTTATAAGAATTATATAAACTGAATGCAAAGTTAAAATTATTTGTTCAAAGTATATTAGAACTTTAGTCAGAATTAAATATAAAATCTGAATCATTTTCAATATACAAAAATTTTTTTTTGTAAAAAAAAGTTGAAACAAAAAAATTATTTTTTCAAAATCAATTATTTTGTTAAGACAAGCAGAAAGTTCTTTGAATCATTTAAATCGGATGCTTAGTTCTCTCAAAATCTACCATTTTTTACATATTTAGCTCCATATACTCGAAATGGCTGGGCCTGCCTTTGCCAAAAACTAATCAACACTTTTCCCAGTCATTACTAATTGAATGTTTTTTAGATCATTCAAATCGGATACTCCGTTCTCTCAAAAACTCGATTTCTATCTTCTGCACTCTTTGCTCCGTATCTCCGTAAATGCTGGGCCTGCCTTTGCCAAAATCAGCATATCTCCCTATCAATAGTAATCGAATGTTTTTTGAACCATTCAAATCGGTTGATCCGTGCGCCCGAAAACGTGACTGGAAATTTGTATCCATACATATATACACACACACACATCCATTTTTTCTGAGGTATGCCAAAACGTTCAGAAATCTTCAGAACGTCGAAAAATGTAAAAAAATTCAATTTCGGTTTTCGGCCCATTACAATAGCTTACGGGAAGTTAATAAAGACAAAATCCAATAAAGACAAAAATCCAATAAGAACAAAAATTCAATGAAGACAAAATCCAACGTCGATAAAAATCCAATAAAGACAAAATTTAATGAAAATAAAAATCCAAAAAAGACAAAAATCTAATGAGAATGAAAATCCATGACAGAAAAAAGCCAATGAGAATAAAAATCCAGTAATGATAAAATCCAATGAGTGGAAAAATCCAATCAATATAAAAATTCATACATAAAGAAATAATTATAATGAATAAATTTAATCAATTAATTAATTCAATTACCACGAAGAAATAATTAGAACAAAGTAGAAAAATCCAAGAACTAACCAAATCCAAGAACGCAAAAGTAGAAAAATGCAAATGAATTCATTTTTTTCATAAAAAATAATGAAGTTTTCTAAAATTGTAGTCGAGTTCTGATAGTTATTTAATTTGTCAAAAAAAATGGAATTGCATATGAAATATTCTAAGGATCCTCCCTACATATCCTTATAAAAGCGAGAGAGAGTCCCTTTTCTGCCTGACATTGCGCAAGGTCACATCATCACAGCCAGCAGACGGCGTAGTCGCGCGTCCAGACCCCGTGAAAAGGGATAAAAGGCGTCTGGACTCGTGCCGGACTACTCTTCCTGCAGCAGGCAGAAGGCAGAAGGCAGAAGGAAATGCAACAGAACAGAACAGAAGTGCAGTGCATCGGATTCGAGCAAAGGGCAAAAGTTCTCAAACTGAAGAGATTTCGGAATCAATTAAACTTATACACAGGATAGATAGGATGACTCACACAGATAAAGTTTCTGATGAGTAGATTTAGTTTCGCAATTGGTTTCCCAGTTTGTGCAGAAGAGATGTAAAGAGGTTTAAGTACAAAGTGTTGTCGACTAGACTAAATTGTTAACTATAGTTAGGCAAGGTTGTCGAATTGGTCAGTAAGGATTGTCTATTTTAAATAAAATTGGAGGTTGCCAATTTTAGATAGAGCAGATTGCCAAATTTTTAACTTTCCCATAAGGTAAGTTATTATAAATCTTCACGTTTCAGAGGTTTCTGAACATTTCGGCATACCTCAAAAAATGTGCGTGTGTGACGCAATTTTTGTCGACGATTTCGGGTGTACGGATCATCCGATTTAAATGGTTCAAAAAACATTCGATTCCTATTGATAGTGAGATGTGCTGATTAGTTTTTGGCAGAGACAGGTCCAGCCATTTCGGAGATACGGAACAAAAAGTGCCAAAAACGGTAATTCAATTTTTGAGAGAACGAAGCGTCCGATTTTAATGGCAAAAACCATTTTATTTGTATGGACAAAATAAATAAGTGATGACATTTTTGAATAGACAGGTCTAGCGTTTCGAAAGATCCAATAAGAAAAGTAAAAAAAATGTCATCTGGCAGACATGATCATTGGACATATGCACATCAAATTACCACATACAATGTTTATTGGTTTTACTGCAACGCGGCGCCCACGCGCTTCGAAATTTCGTGTTTATGAAAAAAATTTAACATTTCCAAAACATTTCAAAGTATAAAAAAAATCAAATTTTGCAGAGGTCAATTTTTTTCAAAAAATTTAAAAATCTTTCAAATTTATTTTTTCAAAACTTAAAAAAAAATTAATCCTTTTTAAAAAAAATATTTTTTGGTGCAGGAAGTTCCAGCAATTTACTTTAAGATATTATGTCATACACTGCTAGTTTATAAACTTCCCGAAAGAGAGGTTTATGTTTTTATCAAAAAATCCGATTCGCTAATTTTATGTTTTCTCGACGTTTCAAGCCATTCTGAATCGAATAAGACTAAATTTGGGAAAAGTATTCGTGTGTATGTATGTGAACATATTTCTTTTCTGTAAATCAACGTTTTCTCAAAAAACGGCTGAACCGATTTCAAAAATTTAAAAGCCAATCGATGTATTTCGATGTGTATCATCTTTTCTCAATTTTGTGCGACGATCGGCAAAGCCGTTTCTATGTAAATAACAAAAAAGTGAAAAAAAAAATTATCCAAGTTACTGAATCGATTTAAAAAAATCAAAAACTTTTCGAAAGATATTGGTTGGGAATGATACTGATTAGTTTTAGGTAAAAATCTACTGAGCCGTTTTGTTGAAATTAATTGTTGAAAAAAAAAAATTGGACGATTTTTATGAACCTTTTTTGGCAAAGGTTTTATAAAACATACTAAAACGTTACGGCCCTACGACAAATAGTTTAATGTTAAAAATTCACCAAAGTTTGAGAAAATATTATAGTCAAAATTTGTGCTAAAAGTGGCTTGAGTCAAACATTATCAATTCATTAAAATTTAAAATAATAAGCTACAATTTTAAGGCATACAAGCACTTGTGTCTGTGCAATATCATTGATATAGTTACAATTAATTAAAATGTGTTTGAAAAAATTCTATTTGAAAGCGCAATATTTAGATTTAATTGAAAGCGTTAACTTCATTTTTGAAAAAAACAGTTGAACATCTAAATTTTAATTTCGGTTGATTAAGTCAATTCTTACACATTTCGGAAAGTTTGTGCAAATTGCCTTAATGCTAAATGCCACTTTCAACTAGTTTTTTAATTAAATTAAATAGTGCTATCTACGATATCATCTTTTGCAACAAACAAAGGTAGTAGATGCCACTTATAAATATCATGCGTACCTTTGCTTATACAAAATCTGATTTCTTATTAAATATTCTCAAACTGTCTATTATTTTGTCGACATTTTTAGAAGCAGTGGCGTCGGTAAAACATGAAAGAAGAATTGCACGTCGAGAGAGACAGAGTGATACGTCTGGAGTATTGTCGACTTGTTCTAGAATTGGAAAATGCATTGGAAATGCAATCAGACGAATTATTACGACAATTGCAGAGACGAGAAAATCGAGTTCGATTGTTTTTGATTTTCTATTTATCTTTATAAGGGAGACTGATATAACATACCTTGATAATAAACTCCAATCATTTTTCCAGAGATTTTCTCTGTGAAAGAAATTACCTGATACAATATCACGAGCAAATAAATAATATTTTTTTCGGTTAAGAACTACTTTTAATTACTCGTAGTTCAAAAGACATTTTGTTTGTTCTAATCACTCCTTACAATAGTTTTTTTTTAGAAAACTCGAAACCGGTTAAAGCCGTTTTTTAGAAAAATTACTTTGCGGAAACTGATTTCCAAAAAACCTTTTATTCTTGGCATACTTTTTAACATATGATGAAATTGAGTTGGAAAACTAGGGCACAAACCTATTATTTCCATTCTATTTAGGCTTTGAATTGACGACTTGGCAAACTTCCAAGGCAAGCAAACAACATTACAGGAGAAAACCCAGAATTTTCTTTATACCACACCATAACGTTGTTTTTAGCTAATAAACACAAACAAGATTTGTACCAGATATTTTTTCTATTGGAAAGTTGCACAATAATTTTAATAATAAAAATGCAATACTGGTTTCTGTTAATTTACATTTTTCATCAAAATTAAATGTTTTTCTTTTGTTGTAAAGATAGTAATTAGTTGTAATTAATAAAAAAAATATATTAAAAAAACCTAATCAAAAATATAAAATATTGTTTGCAATATGCCTTTATTAATATTATTAGTTATATCTTTGTCTATAATTTCAAAATCCATTTTCTTTTTTATGATTTAGTTAAAAGAAAATAAATTTGAATATAGTTTGGAAATCAATGTACCATCTACTACCACCTACTACCACCTACCGCCCAACTACTACCCCTACACCTACAAAACTTTTCCAGTTCGTGAATAATGCAAAATGGAACATTTTCAACAATGTTTTAAAAGTCTAATGCATGAAAAGTGTCTGGCTGCAACTGCAACTGCAACTACTATAGTACGTGTATCATTGGTGGCCAAACGAAGAAATAAAGAGGTCGAAAATAAAAAATAATAGAGATTTAATGTAGTGTTAAATTCAATAATTTAATACAAATTTTCGATGATACAAGTTTAAAAACTTTATCTTATATATAAAAATGGATCGCAAAATGTGTTGGCAAGCGCATAACTCAACAACGCCTGGACCAATTTGGCCATTTTTTTTTTAAATGTTTGTTGAAGTCCAAGGATGGTTCTTACGGCGAGGAAGATTGCCGGGAAAGCCCTAAAAACAGCCCTTTTCTTTTTCTCATTCAAACGTTTTCTAACTAAAACGTATAATCAATTAGAGTTTTATAAAGTAATTTAATATAAAGTTCATATTAAATTACGAGCACTCACTGTATACTCCTCCTTGATGATTATTTAGATTTTGATAAATCTTTCTGAAGTTTGTTAAGGAAATTTTCTAGGATGTATGTGATTATAAAGTACTGGGATGCATGTGCAATATAGTAGAAATAAATGGAAAATACATGTCATCGTTTGCATTCGCATATATAATTTCTTTGCATCTTTTACTAATCTTTTCACAATATTTTTATAATTCGTAAATATTTCACTTTGTAACAACAAATGGGAAAGTAAAGATGAATACATACAATTCGGCCCTCACGATATCGATTAGGAGAAGTCTAAGATGCAATTTGATTCTTGAATAATAAAAAATTAAATTAATTTAATCCAACATAAAGTACCAGTGTTATATTTTGGTTATGGTTATGTTATACCGTTTAAAAGACTTCAATTTCCAATATTGTGTGGGAATTGCTACGCATCATTTTATTTAAAGCAGTTCTACATTTAACATCGCTCATATTAATGTATATGCATTTTGGTGTGAGGAGTAATTTAAAAAACAATAATTATTATTTTTAGGTAAACGGTAAATATCAGTATATTATATTAAAAAATTGTAAACATGGGTACAGGACAACGTCTGTCGGGTCATCTAATATATAATATATATAGAACATCGATGTAATTTAGTTTTTGAGAGAACGAAGCGCCCGATTAAAAAAATTCAAAAACATTTTGCTTGTATTGACAAATTAAATTTTTGGAAAGGCAAGTTCAGCGTTATCGGAGATCCAATGAAATAGGTAAAAAATGTGAAATTTTATAGAGATTTTAGTAATAAGTACTAATTTAGTTTACATTTCTGTAAGTTCCGTACCAATGAATTTATGATTGTTACAGTTTTAAAATTACATTAACGTTATCTACTTCAAATTTATTTTAATCTATATGTATAAATCTATATGTATAAATGTTTATCAGATAGACTGCGACACGGTGCTTACGCGATTAGATATTTTGTTTCTAAAACAGTTACGCAGCACCATTGCTTTGAAATCAGTTTAAAAAATTTTATTTAAAAGTTTAAATTCAAAATATTCAAAATATTCGAAGTATATAAAAAAATTCAAAAAATTCAATTTTTCACAAAGTTTTTAAAAAAATTAAAATTTGGTAAAAATAATAATTTTTGGTACGGGAAGTTCCAGCAATTTGCCTTAAAGCATGATGCCACGTACTACTAGTTCTTTCTCCTAGCAAAATGCCACTTACATCAACCCGACATATATTATTATCACCGTCCACCGGTGCTCTTCCCCAACTAAACAGAGACGACAGAGCGTCTGGCGGCGTCTGGCATCGTCGGTCCTGTTCTAGGAAAATGCATCGGATGCATTTCGTGGAAGGGAGACAGGCAGGCCAGGCCGGCAGTCTGCCTGCCCAGACACAGCCAGACACAGGCAGAGGCGACGGCGATGATGCGCGTTCCCGCTCTAATTGCCGCTGTCGGCCGCTCTAGTCGCGAAGAGCTAGCCGAGCTGCGCTCTCTGGCACGATGCAAAATAACAAACATGATGCGGCAGCGGCGGCGGAATGGAAATGGGACCGGTGAGACGATTTCACATTTGATAAAAAAGATTGAGGGAATTTTTATAAGAGTAAAATATATTATAGAAAAACAGCAAAAAATAGTGGTGTATCGCGCACTAAAGCAAATTGCTGAAACTTTCCGTACCGTAATTTCAAATTCTTAGAACTTCCAAATCTTTTTTTGAAAATTTCGAAAAAAAATTGATTATTTTGTGATTTTTAAGATTTTTTTGAAAATTTTGAAACCCATTCAAATCTTTTTTCCTTCTGTTTCAAAAATGCCGTGGACCTTTGTTTGAACCATTAGTTAACTTTAAACATATATGCCAAAAGGCAAAACGCCACTTGCATCCACAAAAATTATATAAAATAGTATATAATCATACATTCTAAATAAGAAATACCAAATGTTTCTCTTTAAAATTACAATTTTCTCAGCATCTATAAAGCATATTGAAAACAATTTAGCTTGTCTTTCAGAAATAATGAATACGAGGTCTGTTCAAAAAGTACCCGGAATTTTCGTTTTTTCAAAAAAATATTTATTTATTCGTCTACATTAATGTGGTCCCCTTCAAAGTAGTCCCCCCCAGATATAATACACTTATGCCAGCGTTTTTTCCAATTTTCGAAGCACCCTTGATATTCACTTTTTGATATGTCCTTGAGCACTCTCGGCGATTTTCTTCAATCGAGGAAAACCGCCGTCCTTTCATGGGTCTCTTCAACTTTGGGAATAGGAAAAAGTCACACGGAGCCATATCTGGTGAATTTTTGCACTTTGCAACACTTTATTTCATTTTTTACGCAAAATTTAATACAAATTCTTTGACTTTTCAATTCTTCCATTGTAAAAATCGCCGAGCTCAGAAAAACACGTCGAACCTTAGCGACTACCACAGACAAAGTAAACAGTGAATATAGCTGAAAATTTCATCATACTTTAGGGGCATGTATACCAACACAATAAAAAAAAAATTTTGACAATCAGACACTCCAGACCCGCGAAATTTAATTATTAGTAATTCCGGGTACTTTTTGAACACACCTCGTATAACAAGTATTTCCATAGAGGCGAGTTTTATGTAAAATAGCTAGAGGTACCAACGAAGTGCCGTGTGTGTTGCAATATGCACAAGTTTTCGACGGCAAAATCGAAATGATTGTGACATACAGTAACCTAAACCCAAAAAAATGTAACCAAATATTGTGCCTTCTATTCCAAATCCTTTCCAATTTTTTTTGTTAAAAGTTTTGAAAAGTTAGTTTGAATTTCCTTTAACATTTTTGTAAATTTAAAAACATTGGATAAGTTTGTATAAAACTGACTTTTTTGAAAGTTCTGAAATTTTTATTTGCTCCGACAAACTCGCATTAAAGTGGTAGCGACCGCACTAAGTATCTGTTTCAGAGACGAATTATCGAAGCGCGATAACGCTGAGTCGCAGACTAATAGTTAAACATTATAAATCTTAATGCGAAACCCAGAGAAAAAGCTACTGATACATGACATTAGCAAATTAAGGCAAATTGCTGGAACTTCCCGTACCGTAATTAAACATGCAAGGAATAAAAATACTAAATAATCAATAAAACTTACTGAACTATCATTAATAGCAAATGTTTTAAAGATTTTCAAATAGAATATGTGAAATACTGTACATTTCATCATTAATATTTTATAGATCTAATATAAGTAAACTTCTAAGAAACTTAAACATATATAAAAAAACCGATCAGAATGGGTCCTACTTTACTTATTTTTTTATATAAACATTTTCAAACTGAACTGCAACGATAAAATTAATTTATTTATTTAAACTATATAAGAAAACTATGGAACTATTAAAAACATTGTATATTTTTGAACATTTTAATAAAATCCGATATTAATTTTTTATATTTCTTTCAATAAAACCCCCTTTTAAATTTGAAATTTTGTATTTTTCTGAAAATGCAAAAAAATTTGATAAGTTAAAAAAATAAAAAATTGGATTTTCCCAAACCAGTATTTCCCAAAAACTAAATATTTTTTCACACTGTCAAGCAATATGTTTTTTGAATCATTGTAATCGGATGCTCCGTTTCCT